GGTGCACCCACCGCGGATTTCACATGTTCACATTACATTCGAGTTCGGTGGACAAAACGAACGCACCAAGAGAGCACAGGGGTGTCCGCAGGGTCCTAATAAATTTAAAATCAAAACGTCTCAAATTTGAAATATGTTTTTGGGAAACACTTGTATTGATCATGCTGTAAACAAAAACAAAACATTTCTTTCATACCAATATGGCTGTAGAATAGGCCTTAATTAAGTCTTAAATGTAACCTCTTGATACCTGCAGAAACCTTGTTATTTTCATGACATAAACCTCACGGCCACATCACGTCACCATGCAACCTCTTTGTTGGACAGATGGAGAGAGCAAGACAAAGGCAAAGAAAGACACAGGGAAGGGAAAAGGAAAGAAGAAGAAGAAGAGGAAGAGCAACGAAGAGGCCTTGGAGGACAGCGATGACGGCGACCACGAGGGTCTAGAGGTGGATTACATGTCAGATGATACCAGGTCAGATCCATTGTATTGTTGCACACACAGACTCTTTCTGGACGCTATCGTGTATGTTTTGTTTCGTTTGGTTGTGTCTTCTTTTTATTGCTATGTCATTTTGTTATCCAAAAACAGCTCAGACGAAGAGCCAGAAGGAAAGGGAAAACCCAGCAAAGGCGAGGACCACCCTAAAGGTCAGACCATGAACTATATTGAACACTGTATTGAATTACTTCATATAGAAAGACCAGACACTGATGATTTTATGCATATATAATGCATGTAATAAAAGGTAGAGCGTGACCACCGGGCTGGTAATAATTTGACTGGCGTGTGCGTCATTTTTTGAGTCAGCAGACATTTATTTGATTGTTTTTGATTTATTGGCTTTACTGAATGAATGATCTGTATTTTCTTGGTGTTGGTTTTCCCTCCTATCTGTCCTTTTTATAGGGATTGACGAGGCGTCTGAAAGTGAGGAGGAGAGCGAGGAGGAGAAGCAGAATGAGGAGGAAACAAAAGAGGAGGAGGAAGAAGAGGAAGGAAAGAAAACCCCAGTCCAAGTGGAAAAGAAGAAGAAAAAAGGTGCATACGTCGTGGAGACAAAAGCCGATTTTGAACAAAATGCAAACCACCATAACACGAGCAGCGTTATAAGATACGCCTTCCTGTTTCATTTTTTGTTGATTTGTGTGTCACAGACAGCAGCGGAGAGTCGGACAGCTCAGATGACAGTGACATCGAGGGAGAGACGGCCTCTGCTCTGTTCATGGTGATTAGTGTGTGTGTGTGTGTGGCTGAATAAATTGATATTTTGTGTTTTATAGGCAATTCTTACTCATAAATGTAGATTTTGAGTTTTACCATTTGCTTTTAAGTCATAACTTTCACTTCCACTTGATCAATAGTGGTCACATTATTAAGAGTCAATAATGTGGCTCTATCACAACTACTTTCAGTTACTGTGCAGCAGATTCTCTTGGAGTGAGGCATAGGTTACTTACTGCAGTTTTAATGTGAATGTGTGCGTGGTTCAGCGTTTTCATTCTTTAAGCGTTTTTTTCTTTCTGTTCTCATCAAATGTCTCTCTTTCTGTCCGTCTCTCAGAAAAAGCGTACGCCTCCTAAACGCGGAGGTGGGCGCGGCTCTGCAGGCAGCTCCAGGACAGGCAGTCGCCCGGGGACGCCATCCATAGACTCCGCCTCTACCTCCAATACACTCCGTGCTGCCGCCAGCAAGCTAGAGCAAGGTGGGGGCTCATACATCACACCACAAATACACACACCCATGCCAAGTTGTAATGAAACAAATCAGACGTTTTGAGTCGTTTGTTGATTTACGTGTCCTGCAGCTGAAACTTGAGGTCCTTCCAAATGTTTTTTTTGTTTTTGGTTCCGCCTCAACTAAATCTCTTTTTTTCCCACAGGGAAGAGGCAGCCTCAGGGCCCTGTCACTGACTCACCAGCTGCCAAAAGGCTGAAGATGGAGCCCAGCAGCCAGAGCCCTGCTCCTTCTGGGAAGAGCACGCCTCAACCCCCATCAGGCAAATCCACTCCTAGCTCAAGGTACTTTACCAGACTTCCTTTTTGCCTCTAACAAATGTATTCTATTTATCCCAAGATTACTATGAAACTGTAAAATGTATCACAGTTGACATCAAAACACAAACATTTAATCTGTCTCCTCTATTCATCTCCTCCACAGTGATGTGCAGCTAACAGAGGAAGCTGTACGGCGGTACCTGATACGTAAACCGATGACCACCAAAGACCTGCTGAAGAAGTTCCAGACGAAGCGCACGGGTTTGAGCAGCGAGCAGACGGTCAACGTGCTGGCACAGATCCTGAAGCGCCTCAACCCAGAACGCAAGAACGTGAACGACAAAATGCACTTCTACCTCACTGAATAACAGATGGAGGATGGAGATGAGACGGAGGAGCTCAAAATGAAACTTGGCAGGTGAAAATTTTTGGGATTTTGGTTTTTCAGTAAAAAGCCTGACCCCTGAAAGAGAGGTTTTGTGTCTGTTTCAGAACTGATTATGTTGTGACATGGTGAGACAGGATGAGAGGTTGAAACTGTCTTTCCCGGGTGGCATTTATAAAAAAAAGTATTTTGTTAAGCATTTTGAATTTGTTTTTCATAGTAAACTAAACTCTCAAATAACAGAAACCTTGTTAATGCTGAGTGAACAACTCTCATGTGTAAACTGTTTAACTTTAGAACTTGATAAATGGGGGGAAAAAAAGTCTAACTTGTTTTTCTCAGTTAGACACTTTTCTAATAAAATTTCAAACCTGCTGCAGTGTAAGGCTCTTCTCTTTGTACCCCATCTGTCATATACCGTTTGTTCTAATAATGCAGGGTCAATAATACAAACACTAGTGTATGGAAATGTGCTATTTTAATACATAAAAAAACATTTAATAAAGAGAATAGATAGAGAAACATTTAATATTTTCTTCTTTATTTTACTTTCTAAATCATTCAACAATTTCATTCGATATTAAAGAAAAGTGTAGCTAAAATGACTCCTATAATAACAGCTTTGAATATACTAGAGGATACGCACAGTGTAGTTTAATGAGGTACTTAATAAACCAGTATTGCACAGTGATAACAACCTGCTTGACACCAATACCCCAGAATAGTGTTCATTATCAGCTCAGTGTTTGGTCGCTTCATGTCCGGGCAATGTCATAGTTGGCCACAAACCAGTCACAGGTCATCTTTATAGCTGGAAGGACAGGAGAAAAAAACAAGTCAAATCACCTGCACTAGGCTGAGACTGCATGCAAAATGTAATTCAAAGTTCTCATTTGTATGTTGAGAAGCACAGACTTTTCTTTCACAGAAGCTTTTTGTTACTATATCGCGCTTTAAAAAAGCCATCAGTACACAAGTTCTATGAACAAGCTTTGTGTCATTAAGCTGCAGAGTACAGTGAACTCTAACCTTCTTTAAGAGGTGTGAAGGTGAAGCTGGGGAGGTAGCGTCTTAGCTTGGCATTGCTTGCTGTCTTCCTCATCTGGCCGTCAGACAGGGTGGTGTCAAACTGATGTTAGGAGTCAAGGGGAGAGGATTTTGAGCATAACAGGCTACATGCAGCTTAGTATAATTTCAGTTCACATCAGTGGGTTGTGATCATTGGGAAAAGATAGAAAGGGTACATGTATTTCGCCTTTGAAGTCCAGAGCGTTGGCTATCATCTCCGCAGCCTCTTTGATTGAGACCTCGTCCTCTTCACCCACTGAAAGTAAACCAACAGTCGATGAATGAACTGTACATACAGTTTTGAAGCCACAACGTCCCCGCTTTCTTCAGTGTATCACACAATCACAAAGATTCCCAGAAGTCAACACAGCACTGTGCTCACCAGAGAGGATAATGGGGTCAATTTCCTTATATTCTCTCAGGGCCCAGATGATTAGACGGCCCAAGTCCTGAGAATAAACACATAATGAGAGTAAGTAAATGTAGGCTTTGTAATGTATAATTTGTTATACTTATTGTATTTAATCTTAATACAGTCGGAGATACATGTGGCCTAAGGACAATATGTAGATTCACACAACAGGTTACAGCATGAAGATACAATACCAAAGAATAGATGAACTGTCTCCTGGGAGCTCCAGAGCCGCATACAATCACAGGAGTTCCTTCCTCTGTGAGAGAGAAACAAGAACATAGACTCTAATACCTGATAAATGTCTGTGTTGTATGTTATTCACTGCGTGTGTTATCGTGACGGATTAGTGTGTCTGAGTTAAATCACTTTTGGCTTCGTAGGTCTTGTTAATGAGTGCTGACAGCACGTGACCATTTTCTATGTTGAAGTTGTCGTAGGGGCCAAACACGTTGGTCGGGATGACCGCCGTGTAGCGATGACCATACTGCTGGAAGTATGCCCTGTCAAACACACAGGTTGCACATACAGGCGGTCAGATTCACCGGAACACAGATGAATATTCATATTTGTTTGTTTATGTATGGAGGCCATTTGTCTTTATGCGATTCACAAATTAAACTGGTCTAAAAGGGACTAATGGTCCACCTGGCTCAACGCATGACAATGAATCATGGATGTTTTTCACAGTCTTAGAGCGGTGGATTGTATTTGGGCATAAAGGCGCAGCCACGGGTTAAATAAAATCTACAAAAGAGCCGAAAAGGAACTACTTACCTGACCGGGTGCTGCCTCCACAGCCCTTTGTTGAGGGTGCATGTCAGACACACCCATGTTTGCACTACACAGCTGCTTACCTGTTCTGAACATCAATCATCCTTTTTGCATGCGAGTATCCAAAATTGGAGTCATGAGGAGGTCCGTTGTGTATCTATGGGAGTAAGGGAATTACAGTACAGTTAAAGCGCTGCTCTAATGGCTCTGTAGCAACATTGTACCCTAATATTTACTGCCTGGGGTTGGTGTGTAATTGAGAGAATTGATCATAGGGATTGCCCATCTTGAAAATCTGAGCCAGTCAATGCCAGATAACGTTGTCATTGAAATTAAGCTTCAAAACAAACAAAGAAAGCTTACCATGGTCTCATCGATGGGGTATGTGGTTTTGTCAGGGAAGATACAACTGGACAGGCAAGACACGACCTTGGTGACACCCATCTCGTGGGCTGTTTGTAGCACATTGTCATTGATTTTGATGTTGTCCCTCTGTGAAAGTGTCAGACTGTCACTGACTGGCCGTCACAGTAGATATCCTCCATAGACGCCACTTTTACAGTAGGTTTAAAATAGAGTTTGTTCAACAGCTGTGGCCAGATCATGAATGTACTGTGTGGCAGCATTATCTCACCAAAAAATGCAGGTTCTCCTTCATGTGCAGAAAGAGTCCTCCGACTTTTGCGGCGAGGTGGATGACGTGAGTGGGACGGTGCTTCTCGAACACAGCCCTGGTCTGCCCGACATCTCTGTTCATGTTTTAACACCACATTGTTCACAGTTGACAAAAAAAACTGTTTGAATTCTTGTGCTCACTAGGTAAATCTAAATAGGAAGTAAAGAGTTCCTCAGTGTACATTACAATACATTAATTGATTGAAAGCTATCACATACACTATATATCTAAAAACATAGATTTAAAAGTTAATAGCATAAAGCAAACCATGAAGACATAAACAGATAGGAAACACCTAATCACAGTATGATAAGAAGATGAGAAAGATGGGATGGTGATGGCAATGCAGCGAAATATATGACAGCATGTTACTCTATAGCAAGTGCTTTTTATCCCAACATTTGCATTATTATTAGTAGATTTTTATACATTATTTATGAAAATCAACTCCCTAACTCTTGTCGTCAGTGTTGGAACTCATCAATTATAGACAAATTTGTTTGCATGCACGCCTAGGCAGAAGAGAAGGATTGAAGCGACTTACACGAGAACAGCGTCCTTAGAAGAGAGGAAGATCCATTCCTCTCCCTCCAGTTTCCCAGCTTCCTTTTGCACCACATGCTCAATGGCTTTGCCCACCAGCCCAGACCCACCAGTCACCAGGACACGCATTGGCCCCCCAGCTTTGATCTCTGACCCCATCTTTTATATTTGTGCTGGCTGTCTCTGTGACAGAGAGGACATTAAACAGAAAAGAGGTTTCAGGATTCAAATAAATATATTCCTCATTACATGACTATAAAAACATCAATCTAATCGACATAAATATATTACATTCATGTTCTCTATCATCCCGCCATAAACAAGGACTCTCTTTCATATGCCTTCATGCTCCTTACCTGTATCGAGGGATGAAGTGAGTGTGAACTTCACTGGGGAGTTTGTTTGTCTTACCGGGGTTTGCATACCTGTAGGCCATCCTGTTGAACAGGTACTTTTGTAAACTAGGTATTGTTTCGGCTTGTTCCTCGTGGTGTTTTGGCGCATGAGGTAGTTTGTGACTCCTCCTACAACATGTGTCTGCCCCTCGATTCAGGGAGATGAGCTGCTACTGGTAATTATGTATTTTAAACTTAATTTTTATAAAAGTAAACATTAATATATGTGGATTAGTAAATAAAGGAAAAGTGAAAATTACATTTGAATAGTGGCACATGAGAACGTTACTCAGGTGAATGAAATTGTATCTTATATCTTAGTTAAATTTATTATATTTATCAAAAACACAAAGATTCCCACAAAGCAACTTCACATTAAACCCAGAAAATCCTTTATTGCATCCAAGTTCACTTTAATTTTGTATTAAAACTATTCAGTCTCTGTATTATACAGAAATTATACATAAGTAGAGGCACACATCAAAGTGATGGTAATACATATAAACATGACTCAGAATCCCTTCCCTTGCCGCCTGCTTTTAATGTTGAACCAACATATGTATGAACAAGTATTTTAAACCTTTAAAGCGGACATCCTTTCCAGCAGTGAGTGGTAACTGACCACAGTCAAGACGGTGCATCTGCAGTGGAAGGTTTATTTAAATCAGACTCATAATAATGGGCTCATTCAGTTGATTGTGATCCTTGAAAATATGGACACAGACAAACAGATCATTTTAGTACAACCCAATCGATATTTCTCAATAGCACAGTATACATATACGTATAGTTGAGTGTCTCAACTACAATAAATGTCCTGGACGCTACCCTGTGGATTTGTATTATAACAATATATTAACTAAAAACAGCTGAAGTGGTTGTTAGCCCGGAAGGTTCCGACAGATGACGGAGATACGACGCAGCCGAGGAACCCTCTGTCCGTTGAACACAGACTCCTCGTCTTTCAGGATCTCGTGAGTGAAGTTGAATCTGGCCTGGTCCCTGTACGGGTGTGAAGAGAACAGGATGACACATGTGACAGCACCCTTTTGTTGTTAGGTATCCAGCAGAGTTATGACACAGACTGCAGCACACTCCCTTGAGGAAATGTCTGTCTTTGCCTTTGACTGCTGCTCATCCTGGAGTAGAGCTGCAGCTTTCCTGGGCAAAACAGCCATGTGTAGTACATAAAGAATTAAAATACTTCATATTCAAATATCTTGTTTGAGCCAATTGCAGTATACACCGAACCTCAGTATGTAGAGGGAGCGGCGGGGCAGCAGCAGTTCCAGCCATTCGTTGGCGGCGTCCTCCTTCACCAAGCGCATGATACTGTCTGACAGGAGGTTCAACCCAGCAATGGTGCTGCCACAGAACTGGAATGACAGTAAGAGCACAGCTGGGATAACAGCACAGCCCACAAAACAAAAGGCATTTCCAAAGGTTTGACGCCACTTGTCAAGCATATTTTCATCTGAGTGACAGTTTCTAATCTGAGAACCCACCTTGACACTGTCAATGTGAGGCTTGATGTAGCCAGTCTTGTCCAGATCTAGAACGTGCACAGGCCCGAGGAGTGGACCACCCTCAGGAAACGCTACGGAGCGGACACGACTCAGGACTTCCTCACACGCCGCTCCCCACGTCACACGCTCAGTCTCTCGGTACCCGTGAATAGCCTACATGTGGACAGAGTGAACACAGAACAAATAACGTCGGCATCGCCGTCACTTCTACAGAGCCCCCTGGGGTCAGCTGAGAAAAGAAGAGGCATATGGAAATCTGTAGTCTCGGTTTATAACTTTATAACTTTTAACTGCGCTCTCAGATTCATAAGCTTATTCTTTATTTTGTATTGTCACATCGGCAAACTTGATGAGTTATTGCAGGGACTGTGTCATGGACAATGATAACAGCCAATGAGATGCCCTGGGACTGACCTGTGATCTGCGTGTGAGTTCCAGTCAGAGCAGAATTGATGCCCTTGGCAACATTTACAGTAACACAATAATACATCATGTGTAAACAATATACAAATGATACCACGTATGGTATGATAAAACCACAACAAAAACTAAATGGCATTATATTAAACCATGTGTGGTATCCTTTGTACATTGTTTACACATGATGAAGTGGTATTGTATTCATATTTCAAATGAATTGTTATGATGGGAAATACTGATATAAAATGTATGTGGGTAGTGAATGATGATCGATAGATGACTTCAGCTTGTTTCTTATTGTACAGTGACATCTGCTGGCCGAAAGCCATATAGGCCTATTGCTGCTGGCTACCAGCCCAGAGTGCCTGTGGGTGCAGTATACAAATCCGTGGGTTGGGTTATGAATTGGAGAGAACAGTTTCTAAACTACTACTTCTACTTCTGCTTCCAATGTACTATTTATTTAAGGGCCAGCATTCTGACAAGCTGCAGCTTTGTTTGTATGTAACTACTGGCTCAGAAATGGCTTTGTGAAATGATGTTCAGAAATAACTCCACAGCCTGTGGTTGTACTGTCTGTCACCTTGAGACCGTCACATATGTAGATGTGTTTATTTATTGCATGCAATGTTGCATCCTTGCTTAATCTCTGTTTTTGTAAGATATGTTGTTTGTAACAAATTGTTATTGCTACCCATCTTGGACAGGACACTCAGAAGGAAGAGATTTCCATTAAAACTAACCAAAACTTATACCAGGAAAGAGGGAAAACATCATCACATGTAGGATCTGGGCAGAGAGTATGACTACGCAGAATTAAGAGCGCAAAATTGGCTTTTTAACAACTCCAAGTTCCAACATCTAAGCCATTAGTGATTGGGCTTAGTTCATCGTAAAATCTGAAACAGGTTTTTATTGTTATGTTGTGTTTTAAATGCAACCTTTTTAGATGTTAACATGCGTCGTTAACTGGTGTGTTCTAACTATCGACCATGTACTCATGACACGGACTTACATCGTCCCAGTGGTCGAACTCGTAGCGTTTCTTCTTCAGGCCTGGCTCCAGCTCTCTCAGAAGAGCTCCTTCCTCCTCCTCAGTGATGAAGCCCGTCCTCACCTCCACCTGTGAGCCCAGTCTCTGCACCAGCTCCCGGCTTGACCCGACGATCAGAGCGGGATGGCCGCAGGGGGAGAGGCCGCTGCGGGCACAGGAGCTCCGGCGGCGGCTGCTAACAGCGGCTCTCTGCACTCCGTTTAACACCGACAGCCACTGTCTCATCCTCCCGTCTCTGCTACTGTTACCGAGCTCGCTGCACAGTCCGTTGACCCTTAAAGCCGTGCTTGGATCTTGTTGACAGGAGTCAAGCTGCTACGCGCCATGTTGGAAGAGCAATGCATTGTGGGGGGCGTAGTTTACCGGCGCATAAGACGCATCAATTACGTAGAGGGAGCTCTGTGCCAAAGAAATAAAAACTTTTGACACTTTTTTTAAAAAAGTGTTTGAAGTAATGTGCATGTTAAGTTGAGTAGGGAATGTATAAAAACATATCTACAACGTATACAAAATCCTCTATATTAATATATTTCAATTACTTACATTACTTTTTTATGAATCCCCTTGTATACACTTGTTAACTTAAAACAAATCTGAATTGGTTGTATTGCCAAGTATATTTTCCCATACAAGTAGCAGTAGTTTTCCTTGGTATATTGGTGCATAACAATAAACTTAGAACAATATAAATACAGATAAAATAGACACAATATATACAAATATAAAAAAAAGATAATATGACCATTATTTAAATAAATGAATAAAGAGCTGTAACGTTTTCAAGAATGTGCTAATATTGTTCAGGGGATGTGCAAGTTCACAGTATGACACATAAAATGATGTGCAAGCATAGCTTTGGGGTATGAACATACAGGTAGGAGAGGCAATAGAAAGAGAGTGAATGCAGATGTTGCAGTTCTTCACTGTGACCACTGGAGGGCAGTGAACACTAATGATTGTATTCGGGTCCATTGCCCACTCCAGCTGCCAACATCTGGTAAAACATTCAGAGAGAAAGTGGCGTTTCTCATTCACATTTTGTTGCACTTCTATTTGTTACTGGAAAACATTTTATGGTGCAGGGGATGTTCGAGTGGATTTTGTTCAGATTGATAACATAAAATAATCAGACAAGAAAGAAATACAAAAACTAATGATGGTAAATAAGGAAATCTGTATATTTGAAAAGAAAACTGGAAGAGAAATCTGCACAGAAATTATTGGAAAAAAAATAGAAACCAATAAATCCAGAATGAAATGAATAACTACAGAAAACAAATACAATGGTCCCTTATGGGCCCCCGCAGTGAAAGCAGAGAGAGGAACCTATTTAACATATTTTAAGGTTTAAAAAAGAAATGAAGTATGAAAAATAAGAGAGAAAAGAGAGTCCTGAGAGCAGAGAAAGTGGTGACTTCATCGTCACTAGAGATTCCCCCAGAAAAAAAAAACATTGGCCTATTTACCACTAAAGGCAGTTTACCACCTTCTCTCTTCTGCTCCCGCTTTTGCTTTGTTTCCTGGCGAACCCTACATTAGTGAAGTGGCCGTATCCAAGGAAAGTGAGGCATCTCCTTTACCCTTGCAGGAAATCTGTGAAGCTTAAAACTGAAGTTTAAATTCTGTATCAGATAGATAAGATCTAAAAACTGTCAGGGAGCCAGGAGGAGGTTGAGAAACAGATGGAGGAAGAAGATTTTGCTTGTGCAGGACCAGCTGTGTTACCCTACTTATGCCTAGGTTAATAATTCTGGATGTTTAAAAATGCATTGTGCATATTTCAGCAGGCTGAAAACTTCTTATGTGAGTGTATTTTTGTGTATTGCACTTCGGTCTAGCCACCATACTCACGCACACCTGATACATGTGAGCATGAACCTATACATGTAACACATCCATTGCATATATACAAGGATTATTAGTGCTCCTTCTGTGAGACGGCAGTTGGTCTCGGTCAGTGAGCATCCACAATAAACCTAACTCAGCCCCCTCCTCCTCCTGCAACACACACACACACACACACACCCAACTGATGTGATGCACATTTCATTGTTGGATGCCATGTTGCTGCCCCCAGCATTACATTCATCCAGCCATGATGGGTTTGGGTTCATATTCTGATTCCCAGTTGGTGCACTCATTTTAAGCTTCTACGATTCACTGCATTATCATCGGTCAGCTTGTCCTGGAGGCATCATTATGCCTTCTGTTGAATCATGCAATTAAACTGAAAATAAGCAGAAAAATACTTGGCAGTGGTCAGTTTGGTAGCATATACGTGTGTAGAACCCGTCTGCCATTACTGCACAATGATAAGCACCTAGACGCCAGAATGTCATAGGATAATCTAAAGATTTTTATGCATCATAAAATCATGAAAAATAAATGAAGTGGGACAGAGTGGTTGTTATTGTAGCACTTAGGGGAGGTACAAATACCTCTGCAGCTGTGAGGGCACGGAGGCTATATTTTAGTTTTAACATAAAGAATACGAATTTATTTGTAAGGGAGAGGGAAGAAGTGGGAGATGAAACAAACTTAAAGGGGAACTTTAACATGAACATCTGATTAAAACCTGGCAAATTGCCTCAACAACGCTATAGGAGTGAAATGCTATAAATCAGTAGAGTTCTCTTTTAAGAGAAGCTCACGCAGTGAAGTGGATATTAGGACACACAGAGAGGGAGACAGCATTGGGGGCATTGGGGTTGTTGTAGCTGTGAGTCTGCATACCTCTCTCTGTGTGTGTCTGTCCTGTCAGTCTGCCTCAAGGGGTCTCAATAAGCTGAAGCCATCATTACAGAATCTCCCTTTCTTGATAACATACTTAAACACACCATTATCATTTATTATGCAGTCCTATTATCCCCTAAAGCTTGTGTCAGTTTTGGTGTAGTGTGATTGCACCAACCGTTACACTGTCTCTGACCCAATTTCCTATGGCTGGACACTTAAATCCTCACCTACCGTACTTTTCATTTTGGAATTGTAAAAATGTGTAGTATGACAACGGCAAAATATAATTTTCACACATACTATAATATATCATAAGCAAAATCTATACCGCATGATGTGAACCAGTCTTGCTGTTGGTCTTGCAGAGGTTTACATGTAAGTCTGCATTGGGTCTGTGGAGGACCGGGTTCAGCAGGGGCGGAGTGCTCTACATGCATCCAGCCATTGAATTATTCAGCCTTATGAATCATTGAGTCACGACACTCCTTTTTAGGCCCTCGCCTCAGAGCACCAGCCTCACAGCTACCCACTATTTAAACATCTGACAGAGAAAAAAAAACAACAGAGAACAATCTCGATACTTTTAAACTCCAGAGTCGAAATGAATGGTTAATAATCATGTTAGAAACGTAGGGTGGAGACCATGCTTCCACCATGTTATGTGATTTATTTAAATTTGCAATGTATGGGCGTATCTTGAATTTCCCTCGGGGATAAATAAAGTATCTATCTATCTATCTATATCTAGTTCTATCTATTATCTCTTCTATCATCTATCTATCTATCTATCTATCCAAGACTAAGCTTTTAGGGTGTTAACAAATCATTTGCAGTCCTATTAGGATTGTTCATTTGTCCACTTTAGACTAGAGTCATCAAAACATTCATTTTAGAGGATGTTGCTACTGCTTCTTCATAGCTTTCACCACCCAAACAGAATGTAAAACATTACCTGAAGTTAATCACACATATAAATAAAATATACCAATAGCCTGCTATACATTCCAAATGAAAAGCATGAGCATTGCCATATAATTTTAGATTTTTTATTATATTACAAAGAGCATAGTAGTTGAGAGTACAGACATGCAACTCATGCATTCAACGCCATAATGTCATTAATAATCAGCTTGAACCCATTGTAAACTTGTATTCTCAAGTGTGAGTCATTTATACATTCCTATATATACTCCTGTTTTAAAGAAAATGTTCAGTGGTGTTCACTCCTTGTCAAATGCTCCTCAGTCAAATATGCTGTAAATACACAGAGTTTATCATGTATCTCTTTTATAGAGACGGTGTATGTGTTCTTGTGAGGTAACAATGTTTTATGCATGGGTGGCCTTGGAGCTGTTGCTCTTCAGTGCTTCTTGTGCTGCCTGTGTGGAATAACAGGTTTGGACAGAAGGCTGCTGCTCCTCAAAGGCTCCAGCTCTGAAGGGCAATAGATAATTTCACAGATCATCACACCCAAGTGTAAACACACACATTTGTGAACACACACATACACATGATATAACAGCCTATAAAACTGGACTACATTTTTAAGCAAGAATTAAATGCATTTTTATATGTGCTCGCTGTAAAAGTATTGTTTTTAGTTTGTCTGCTTTTTCTGGGATGAGAACCGGCTGCCTCTTAGCATTTTAACACACTCATTGTAACAAGTGCAACATCGTTAAAACCTAAAACATTACCGAGCAAAAGAGTAAACCATGTATAATATTGTTAAGTGGTACTATCCTAATCTGCATGCAGTATTTGTAACAAACCTTTGTTTATCCTGTCACCCCAGTAGCCACAGCAGGCCTTAGAGTTGTATATTTTGCTTTCCTGGTAGTAAATATAGTACATTTTAGCATCACTCATGCAAGTGTGTGGTTGGGAGTGCCTACAGTCACAACAGCGACTGGATACAACAGGCTTGATGCTTTTGAGAGGCCACAGGAAACCACAGGAATCAAGGTGGGGCTTGGTGGTATACCACTTTAGGTGAGGTGACATCTCATCCCGTTAACTGTGTGCAAATGACAAGTTGCATGATAGGGAGTCACTCCTTAAACCCCCCCAGACCCCTCTCTCTACCACACAGTCCTCTAATTTTAAACCCCTGCTCCATGTCAGTCAGTTTTCATACTTGCTGTATTATACAGAAGCTGTATTGTTGAGGTGCTGTCCGTGGTCCTGACATGTCCACTATGGAAAGGGATTAGTGCTGATTTTGTTGAGCTGACTTGATTTGTACTTGCTATAGTGTGGTGCTGCTGTCCATGGTCCTTAACTGGTGTCCTTAAGGTTAGCAGTGCAGAACTTTCCCATGCTGTCAGCTGCACATACAGTACTATCTATCTATCTATCTATCCTCGCTCTCTTTGGTTGATCAGGATTCAAAATTGGTGTTCTTGCGTGCCCTTGCGGTGGGGTCATTCTCGCTCTCACGGCCGGAAGCCCTGCTTAAGTGGACACAAAGCAAAACGATCCCTTTCTGACATATCGGATAGACGTTTAAGGTCGTGCCGGTATCGATTGGCGTCCGTACGTGCAAGGTTTCTCTCCTGATTCAATCTCTTGGAGAGGTGAATTCATTCTCCCGGTCATCCTTAAATCTGTAT